TGCAATTGACGTTATTTGCAAAGCTTCTTTTGTTCTTTCGAAAGTCCGAGCGCCCTGGAGCGTGTGCTGCTTGAATTGTAGATCGAGCGCGTTAACATTTCTTTTTTCTTCTCTCTCTCTCTCTTTCTTTCACCCCTCTTTATTCACAACCCTTCGAGGCCTTTTAATGGAAATGTATTATTTTCTGAAGGAATCGGGACGGGAATAACAGGAAACGGGAGAATGCTGGAAGGGAGAAAAAGTTCGATCGATGAATTTACAAATGTCTGATTTACTATAAGTTGATATTTTGTTTGATTCAATGGGAGCTAGCTTTAGAATATTTCTTGTATTGTTCAATGGTGGACAGTGAAATAGTTCTGTTAGAAATGAAAGCAGAAGAGTTTATTTAAGAGGAATGTTAGATTTCGAAGGAATTTCTTTTTTACTTTTTATTAGCAATCAAAATTCATTCCTATGAGCTAATTAGCTGACTTGGGTACTGTTTTCAGTACCTCTTAAAGCGTGACGAGTACTCGTCCACTGACGAGTCCTTCTTAATCACCAATTAGGTCTGCTGGCCGTACGAAAGAATTGGCAGATGATAATGTTCCTATTCGTGAATCGCGATTTTTTTAATTTCAAAACTGGAAATCTCGGGGGGTTGTAAAATTTGCGACTTTGGTGACTTGTGTCACATTGAGACACAAGCCTGGTGAACTCTTATATTTTCAGATAAGAATAATAAGTCAGATAAGAAAACAATTAGCAATTATCAATATTACTAACTAAATAAGAGATTTCGAGAGTAATAAATGAGAGTATTGTCTTGGTGTATGCGACGTCTCGATTCCACTGTCTCAATAATAACAAAACTTGTTTCCTTTTTTTCTTGTTTCCTTAAGTGGGGATGAACCTCATTCCAATGCCAGTCCAATGTTTGTTTTCTTTTTTTTTCTTCCGCTTCCCTTGTGTTGACGATTTCACAGTTCCTCGGGAAGAGTTTCTCTGCAACCTGTATTAATCTTAGACAACTTAATCACTTAATGTAGCAAACAAATCAAGAATCTTAACTTAAAAATGCTTCCTTTATTTATACATATTTTCACTCTGAACTCTAGTACGGTCTTCGGGTCTTTTTTGACCCATTGTCTTCTTATTTTTTTAATAACTTTTGCTGTTATCAAGTTTATGTTTCCTTAACAGTGTATTAAAAGTTTATTGTCTAGGTTCATAGAGCGTGCTGGTAACAAAAATTATTAGACATAAGATCTTTGGATCTTTTGTTTCACTTCTCGAGTTCTCATTTATTTAATAATTTTTGCTATTATCAGCAAAATTTAACGAAATTTGGCCCAAAGACCTTAAGCCTATAGTCGAACGAAAGAACGCACTAATTGTAAGTAGGGTTAACTGACTGACTTTCTTTTCAAAAATCAGTACTCAAACCATTCGCAGCGAACTCACATAAATCAATCATCCACTCACTTCACAATCGATATTTTGTACAATATATCGATCCGTTTCAAATACTTTTCTACACACGAGTTGTGAATAGGGGAGTGTTTTCAGAAACCTGTATACTCGAAAACAATGCTTGATTTTTGTTTATTTATTTTTGCTATGGGGTTGTTTGGTCCGTGCCTGAGAGTGGCTGCCCATTTACCGGAAAATCTGATAATCAGGCGGTGTTACCTTTCTGAAGTATCTGAAACTTAATTAGTCGGTGAGTGAGACAGGGAAATAAGGAAAGGGAAGAGTAACGTACCAGCACTTTGAAGTAAACATTTTTGTACCGCGTTTCTTTTCATAGTTCATTATGTTACGTCAAACAAAGGATTGCGTGGGATTGTTTTTGTTGCTGAAAAATGTAAATGTTCCGGTGCTTCTTCCGGTGTGAAAACATCAAACAAAACTCTCTACATTTTTCATGATATCATCACATACGGCGAGGGGAAAAAAGGTATTCATACACCCTTCAAAACGGAATAACTTTTTCAAAATTGGCGATGCAGAAACAAGCGACAGGCATCGAAAGATGTAAAAATCGTTAGATTTGTTACAGTTGTTTAAAACTGCGATTTTCACCATTTTTCACCGTTTGCAACTCGTAGCAACGTTAACCGCATTCGATGAAATTTTCAGCGTGTGCATAATTGGCATAAATCTACAAAACGTATTTCTTAAATTTCCAAAAGGACCAATTGTAATTTTTTCAAATTTTTTTGCACACGTCATCTAGTAAACTAATCCTTCTAACTTCTCAAAAAACAACTCAACTCGTTTGGTTCAATTTTTCAAAAGTTATTCTGTATTGAAAGGTGTATGAATACTTTTTTCCTCCACTGTATGCAGTTTTTGCAGTATCATAAATACTATCTGTACGATTCCTCATAAATTGCATTCATTCATTTCCTGTTGCTTTAATTTTGAAATATAACTTATAAAAGAAAAACATTTTCCTTCATATTTCGAGAATTCCTCTCTTTCTCTTTCTCATTTCTTAAGCAGTGCGTCCAACAATTTAGCCGATCTCCATTTCATCGTCAATGCAACAAAATGTTCAAATGTTCACCGAAGAACACTGCTTGTTTCTCTTTATTTCTATCTTTATAATTTTTATTTTGACTGCCCAACAAGTTGTGCCAATCACGTTTCATACAGTTACTCCTTCGGATACTCTTCAGAGCAGTATACCTTTTTTGAAATTGGACCAAACGATTTTAGTTCTTTTTTGAGAAGTTAGAAGGATTAGTTTACTAGATGATGTGTAACAGAAATTTTGAGAAAGCTGCAATTTGTGGAAATCGCGAAGCAAACTGTAAATGTCACTTTTTACAACTTTCTTATCTGAGCTTGTAATGAAAATTTAAACAAATACGTTTTGCAGATCTATGTCGATTATACACATGTTGAAAATTTCATCGAAATCGGTTAACATTGCTGTAAGCTACAAACGGTTAAAACTGTGAAAATCGCAGGTATTCCCGATTTTCGGCCTACAGCTGTAATAAATCTAAAGATTCTTACATCTCTCGATACCTGTCGCTTGTTTCTGCATCAACCGATTTCGATGAAATTGTACGTATTCCGGCGATCGACGGGCTGTCACCGATATTTTCCACTCCACGTGTGAAACAAGCGAGAAATATATTTCGTTCGATGTTATGACGATCAACATTCGGCTTGACAAATAGAATCCAGTATACAGTAGTTTGGCGACATTATTTTTTCAATTGTATTCCCCGAATGTTGCGAACTTATGAAACTTTTTGGGTAAACAACTGTTGAAATAAAAGGAAAAAGTTTCTTTACGTCATTACATACTGCGCGATTGAAAATAAAAATTCCGATCGAAAAGAAATTCGCGAAGATAAAAATTCGGTAAAGTCAGAATTATCTGTATTTTGTGTTTTTGTCACGTTAGAGGTAATCACGGTTGGAAAAAAGAAAAGTGGAACGTTTTTTTTTTCTTTTCAACACCTTGTACTATTGCCGCATGCAAGTCAGTACAACGTACTCTCTCGTTTCCGTGGCAAACATAATCTACTTACAGAGAAAATCCTCTTATCACGTCACCGTTAGGCATCTCTATTTGCTGGTATCGGTTCGAATAACGTATTCGTCACGGCGCTTCGATTCACTTAGCGTTGCCGTTATACGAGCTTTTCAAAATTCTACAGTAATACCTTTTGAAGTAGAACTCTGATCACTGTTCAAACCCGATTATAATTGAGTAACCCGTAAAGCGATTAATACGTTTGATAATCACAGTTAACGTTATCACGGTGTTTCGTCGAAGGTGATATTAGATAATATTGCAAACTGCTTATTTATCTTTCCGTAACCGAAGTTATCGAAGTTACGTGGAGAATTGTATCGTAAAAGTGACGAAAAATGAATACAAATGTTAACACAGTTTTAACAATAGAAGAGAGAATATTTCATTGTTTCCATTGGAATAGATGTAATGTTTTCTAACACATTCCGATGATCTCTGTCGAAGCCACTCGACTCATATTAAGTACAACTAGAAACGCAAAACAATTTGTCCTTGCGTAATTCGAATAAATTGAAACAAAGAGAACAACAGACACCAAATATTGCGTAATAAAGTGTGAAGAGTGAGTTATCGTATAAAATGGCATAATGTGAGCAATATTGTTGCACATATTGTAATACGTAAATGTTTTTAATTAGAAGAATTGTTCAAGTGCGTGCAAATTACATGGAAGAATTTTTTTCTTAGTTCGAAAATTTTCAGTTTGGTAGATTTTCCTTAAATAAATATGCGCTATCATTTCAGATTAAAGAAATAATTTTTCAAATGTAAGGTACAAACATCGATAAACGTATTTGCTTTAATAATAAACATGGAAGTAATTGTTGTAATTTACATATTACATAATGTAAACACGCGCGAAACTATGAAACGATGTTACAAATGGTAAATTAATCAATGCACCGCTAATTTTCAATGCAAATAGAAGTACAATGCGGCCAGCTAACGAATTATTATTGTTGCTTTCTAATTGCAGTTAAACGCAATTTAAGTTTTGAACGCGATCGATGCTCATCATCACGTGTCATGTGACACGTCATATCATGATCAGGGACACACGCTATTCGTGCGAACAACCAGGCGTGTCGGTATTCCGCCTAAATCCGCTAATTACCCGTGACTATTGTCCATCGACAATGAAAGCCTGTTCTTAATTAAATTCCATTCTCGGGGGGAATGCAAGGTCTTGTTCTGTCGTCATTCCGCGAAGGCTTTCAATTAATGATCTTGCACGTTGCTTGAAACGAAAGCTGTAACGATACCGGCGCCAGCGTAGTTCGGCAAAGCCGTGTGTAACCGAGAAAACATCGATGAGCCATAGCGAAAGAGAAAGAAGCAGTCCCAATGCCCCACCAAACAAGTCCGGTGGCGTGAGCGATCCGCGCATGTGCACTAGCCGCACGCCTTTAAAGCTTCGTGCCGCCAAAATGCATTCCCATGAGTCAGTCGTGCACAGCCGGTCGCGAGGTACGGATCGTATGAGAAACGAGGTATACGTCGACTGATCTTCGCGAGTTCATAATAACGCTTACCGTGCCAGAGAAACCGAACGACGTGCGTGTGACGCGTACGTTGCTTTCTACGCTCCTTTCGAGGAAATACGGTCGCTCCAGAGCGACGTGCGTTCGCGTTTCAGAAACATTTGCTGGTGTGCGAACCAATCCCCCTTCGCGTTTTGCACTACGAGTGAGGACGAGAGAACACCTGTGTGAAACAAACGTCGTCGAGGGAGTTTAGAAATGAGAAATCTTATGGAGAAACAGCTGTCCTGGCTTGCCCTGCTCGTCACTACGTTCTACTCCCGTGAGTAATTTCAACGAATTTCGTCCATGTTGTGTTTTCGCGTCTCGTTAAGGTCGTATGCTTTCTGTACGGTCTCGCGGACGCCAAGGTTGTTTGACTTTCGGTCAACAAAGTTTCAATTGAACAAGTCGAACTCTGCTCTCGGCGTTCAACGTAAACGGTGGCCGTTCTAAGGGAAAGGTGTTTGTATATGTTCGAAAAATTTTGACGTTCCGCAACAGTCGACGTGTCGTGACACGTTTGAAAGCGATGGCGACACAATTTTCCCTCGAAACGTAGCGATTATCGTGGAGGTTAGGATTTGATTTTCGTGTGTGCCGATTCGAAACACTAGACGGGGGCATTGGAGGTAGCGTCAGTGTTCTATCTTTAGCTATTTTCGGCCTATTCCTGGCGTGTTTTGCGGTTGTGATTTTAATAGCCACACGTTGGATCTCGTGAGCGCTTCTGCGCCTTCATGAATTCGTAAATCTGTTTACGTTTCCTGCGACGACGTTTCGGTGACTAACGATTAACTGACCTACAGAACATCCGTTGTATCCTTGATTTCATTGAATCAATTGTGTCTGGTACACGACGTATCTATCGTGTAAACAATTCAATCATGGAGTTTTGAATATCAAGTTTCAGTTTACTGTGTATATCCGTGCTATCGATATCGTCGTATTCACTCGTCTAACGCTTACGCAATTTTTCTCGTTAAAAACCGCGCCTAACGGAAGATATAAACGAAGGAAAAAGTCGTAGTCAAGCAATGTGATCGTCGTAACCTTTTTTTTTCCAAAAGTTTAATTGGTCAATTAAACGTAACGCAAGATATAGTTGCAACAAATTGAAAGCGCACCAAGCCATATGTTGGTATACGCAGTCGCGATGCGTTTGCGTTTTATTAGCGTCGTTCGTTTCTATGAAACGTTAAAATTGATACCTCGGAAAAAACAGCCGTTTTCGTATGAAAACGAAATCATCGATGTTACGATCGCACGAAGGAATGCTCGTCGCGAAATTCTAGAATGGTCGTTTGAGAACAAGAGCATGCGATCGGTAGATTTTCTCGTGGTGCGATACGAAAATAACACGATGCTTACCACGTGGGTGAGTCTCTCCGTTACATCGTACGAGATGACGTCGCGGCCGCTGATTGGACGACCGGATGGGCGTGCGCCTGGCCTCACCTTAGCAGCGTATAGCGATGGGACTAATCCGATGCTTGGCATTTTTGAACAATTTAATTGTCACTCGTCTTTCCTACGTCAGAATGAGGAAAAATCATCGTGTTTTTGTATTTCTACTTCGAAAATAAGGTTTTTCGAACTGTTCCAAAGATAGGTGTTACAGAACAGTGTTTATTTTCAAAGTAAAATTTCCAGTGTTCGACGAAATGTGTTATTGGATGGTCATATGAATCATATGGTTTTTACGATTCCTGACGTTTGACATCATTTCTATATAAAAGAATGTATGCACTTCGAATTTAAGCAAGAGAGATTTTTTATTTGAAGTATTTATATAATAGTTGGAAATTAGAATTTTCATCGGTAAGTTAAAATTTAGTTCAGTCGATAAAATACGCAATAATAGCCAAGATGAGGGTTTTTTTTGAAAATTGTATATATTTCCTTATTATTGTGAATCCCCTGAACTTTTCAGAAAAAAATTCAGTTGAACTGATAAAACCTGTCAGCCAAAAATTACTCTTTAGATAAAAAGTCTAAAAATTTCAGTATTACGTTATACAAAAGTTCTTAGGTTATATTTAGCTTTTATGTATGCAGTATGATAATGAATGCCAGATGGTTAGGGCTTCCTGTTTCACATCAACCTTTCTAACGCAATAAAACACCGAAAGGAGCGAAGAAGAACAATTTATCATTGAACGTTGCAAAACAATAGCATAATTTTCGTTACGAGTAAATTTCGTGTAAATAAAAAGTAAACGAAATATGTCGAATTTAACTCGGGAATAAACCTTCTTTATTATTAACATTCGTTAATTCTAGAATCCAATTTCAAGGATGACTCGACGTGTTTATCATTTTAATCTTTTTTCACGACGCGTAGAATCTTCCAAAAAATGGTTAATTGTACGTGAAAAAAATATGGTTGTCTGCCAATGACCTCAACGCGCCCATTCCACCGCATCTGTTTCTTCAGCCTAGAGTTTAGCTTAATGCAAGAGGTCAACAACGACAATTGTTCCGATCGTTTCTATCACTATCAGGCGATTCTAACACACAGGCGAAAGAATGCGTCAAGGTTTTCTCGAATCCGCATAGAAGACGGTTGCATTCAGGTCTCAAAAACATCCTCGGCTTCTTTTCCTCCGCTGGCCGTTCTCTCTCACGAGTAGAGCCGGTTTCTCGCGGCGCATTCCATCGAGTTTAAGTTCTCCTTTCGTAACCGGCCTCGTAGGTATACGCGTGCAGCCAAGATAGACGGATGTCCGGTCATCAATCTTTCTCTTCTTCCGCGGGATCTCGCTATTCGCGGAATGCGAAATGGCATCGTGTGATTTTCGTATCTGCCACCGTCGTCGAATCGTATTTTCCTGCCGCCTGCTTTCGTGCCCGCGACAGGTATGAACAGCGTATTCTCTCGGTGAAGTGTCCTTAGTAAAAAATGAAGAGCTTCTAAAGATGCTTTTCTATTCGTTGTATCGTATTATGGTGTTTTAATGGAAGCGTCAAGATTTTGATAATTTGACGAAAAATGTTGGTGTCTCTTAATCCTTTGCGGTCCACATATGATAGTTAGTCCGCAACTCATTTTGCCACTGTCGGGTAACTACCACGCAGTTTGCCTTTAGTTCAATATTTCACTGTAATATTAATGCATAGAAAAATGATTTATTATCGTTTATAATTTATAATTTATCATAGTACGACATCCGAATGTAAAAATTCCTGTGTTGAGTCTGATTCGACATAGGACCGCAAAGGGTTAAGTATCAAAAGAGATAAGAAGATCGCGTGATTTATTTAATGCTCTATCTACTTCATCAATTAAGGTGGATCGATCGTCAGATAACCGAAAATCTTGTCTCGCGTTAATGGATTAAATAATTGGATATCGTCAAGAGATTCGAGTACGCGATTCTTTAATCCGTTTGATCAAAGTGTTCTTGAAAAATCAAATTCCTCTCTATCACGTCTGTTCAAGAGTGAAATTTCTTGTTTATTTGCAGAATTTGTGCATTGTAAGTCTTATTAAATCTCGATATTGTGTTCCGTAAAAGAAAGTGATGATGATTTCTATTTCGTTAGCATAGCTGAATAGAGGTATGTTAAAACCTGTGGATCACTTGATCAATGAATTCTTCTTTAGAAAATTAATTTTTTTGGAATCGTGATTTTTGAAGGAGGTAGCCAATTTGGTTATTAACCGTATTCTTGCGTTCAAAGTTGTTTCAGGCTATTTCCATTGTGTATTTGAATTGATTTGTCGAACGTAACGTGACAATGAAGGTTCTAAACCATCGAAACACGTGATTCAATTTTAGTTTTTGAAATTCTGCTGAGACACTCGAGTATAATCTACATCATCTACATCTTAGAAGTGGCAGTAATGTTGGCAATGACATTGTAGATATTTTGGTGGCAGACTCCGTTTAAGCTGTTAGAGGATCCTCGTCAGATTCCTATGTGTTTAGCAGTTTGGATAATTTTCTCAAAAAAAGACAAAAGAAGCAAAGAAGGTGTAACGATTAAAATTGAGCAGCTTATTAAATTTAAAGATATACAGTTGTTTGAACTAAAGGTTAAAAAAATGACTATTTGTTGACAAAGCTAGAAAAATCAATAGAATGCAAACGAAATTTTCAATAATAAGAAACGTTATACTTTCGCACTGTACTTAATTTAATTTCCAAAAATCGTTGCAACAATAAAATTTAAAGTGTCAATTTCAGTAGTTTCATGTTTAAATATACCAAAGAGTGATCGATCTTTACGTCATAGCTTTATGTAATCCATGACGAAAACGTTGAAAAGAATTGCTTCAGCTATTCACAATTAAAAACCACCAGGAGATTACTATGTAAGCTTGTTGTTGTTATTATACTCTTCACATATGGTCAGACTCGAGTCGCATTCATCACTCAATATTTTGCATAATATACTCGTTCTACAACTTCCACCGTGAATCGCTCAACTCGACTACAGCAAGACGTTCTTTAAAAAAAAAAACCAGAATTCAGTTATTGTAGGTCTGAAAGAATTCTTCGAGAAAATACCACACATAATCGCTACTTAACTACCAATTCGCGACGAACTTGAAGGATCACAGGCAGTACCTGGACCAATTGAAAAGTGCCACGGATGAACACGAACAATGCAACGAGCCATTCAACCTATTCATTCTCCACATTACCAGTCAAAGCCCAAAGACAGACGTCTGTCCTTCACAACAAAGTTACTCTCCGTGAAGCCCCCTTCTTCGTCTTCGATCCTCTTCGCGTCAGCTTGCATGTTTCCAGAAACTCGTTCCGCCAACGATAAATTACCGAATTACTCTCGTCGAAAAAGTAAAAGACGGACTATCGAGCGGCAAAGTAGAACACGTTGCTGTTACTCAAGGTATAAACTTCACAGATGGACTGCTTTTGATTACATTGGATTACTTTTCGGACGAGGATAACACGAAGTATATGGAATTTAATCACGTTGCGAGAGACTCGGTTGGCAAACTGTTCGTTAAGGGGGAATATCGGGATAGGTCAGCGTTCTAAACGAGTCTTTCGTGCAGCATTCGAAGACTGTTAGCCCCGACTTTATACATACCTTCGTCCATAGTCTGCGGAAGTTGGCGGGAGTCGTCGAAACTTGGTCCCTTCAATTATGACCGTAAATAACGACGCAACAACCTCTCCCAGTTGGTTTACTGGCCCAGAAATCATTCGTGTTTTTGCTCGTTCGTGTATATATAGACACGTTCATTCGGTTCTTTCAATTCGTGCCGTTTTTCGTCCGCGAGGAAACTTTAACTTTTTGTTTACCCTTCGA